GGTGAATGGCAAGGCACTGGAGCAACGAACCGCCCTTGCTGTCTCTGCCTGGCCGGCTCCCCTCTCTCCACTGGGATTCTCTGCCTCTGACCCCATTACAGGGGCTGAGTCACTGGCTTACTAGTGCTCTTCCATGCCATCCCTAGGAGGGGTGCGTCACTTGAGTGGGTTGAGACACAGACGTGATCTTCCTGTCCGGTTTTGCGCCCCCTCGGGCTTGTGCGGTGGAGGAGATCTTCGCGGGCTACAGTATCTATGCTGCAATAGTCGATGTGCCATGGGGCTAGGGTCAGTCTGTTATATCTGGTGTAATTCTCCTGTCTTATCTGGTGTCCTGTGTGAATTTAAGTATGCTCCCTCTAATTCTCTCTCTCTCCTGTCCCGGAGGACCTGAGCCCAAGGATCATGCCTCAGGACAACTTGACCTGATGACTCCTGGCTGTCCCCAGTCCACCTGGTCGTGCTGCTGCTCCAGTTTCAACTGTTCTGCCTGCGGCTAGGGAACCCTGACCTGTTCACCGGACGTGCTACCTTGTCCCAGACCTGCTGTTTTCGACTATCTCTCTCTCTCACAACCTCTGAATGCTCAGCTATGAAAAGCCAACTGACATTTCCTCCTGAGGTACTGACCTGTTGCACCCTCTACAACCACTGATTATTATTTGACCCTGCTGGTCAACTATGAACGTTTGAACATCTTGAAGAACAATCTGGCCTCAAATGGCCATGTACAGTTGTGGTCAAAAGTTTTGAGAATGACACAAATATTAATTTTCACAAAGTCTGCTGCCTCAGTTTTTATGATGGCAATTTGCATATACTCCAGAATGTTATGAAGAGTGATCAGATGAATTGCAATTAATTGCAAAGTCCCACTTTGCCATGAAAATGAACTTAATCCCCCAAAAACATTTCACTGCATTTCAGCCCTGCCACAACAGGACCAGCTGACATCATGTCAGTGATTCTCTCGTAAACACAGGTGAGAGTGTTGACGAGGACAAGGCTGGAGATCACTCTGTCATGCTGACTGAGTTAGAATAACAGACTGGAAGCTTTAAAAGGAGGGTGGTGCATGAAATCATTGTTCTTCCTTTGTTAACCATGATTACCTGCAAGGAAACACGTGCCGTCATCATTGCTTTGCACAAAAAGGGCTTCACAGGCAAGGATATTGCTGCTAGTAAGATTGCACCTAAATCAACCATTTATTGGATCATCAAGAAATTCAAGGAGAGAGGTTAAATTGTTGTGAAGAAGGCTTCAGGGCGCCCAAGAAAGACCAGCAAGCGCCAGGACCATCTCCTAAAGTTGATTCAGCTGCGGGATCGGGGCACCACCAGTGCAGAGCTTGCTCAGGAATGGCAGCAGGCAGGTGTGAGTGCATCTGCACGCACAGTGAGGTGAAGACTTTTGGAGGATGGCCTGGTGTCAAGAAGGGCAGCGAGGAAGCCACTTCTCTCCAAGAAAAACATAAGCGATAGACTGATATTCTGCAAAAGGTACAGGGATTGGACTGATGAGGACTGGGGTAAAGTCATTTTCTCTGATGAATCCCCTTTCCGATTGTTTGGGGCATCTGGAAAACACCTTGTCCGGAGAAGACAAGGTGAGCGCTACCATCAGTCCTGTGTCATGCCAACAGTAAAGCATCCTGAGACCATTCATGTGTGGGGTTGCTTCTCAGCCAAGGGAGTGGGCTCACTCACAATTTTGCCTAAGAACACAGTCATGAATAAAGAATGGTACCAACACATCCTCCGAGAGCAACTTCTCCCAACCATCCAAGAACAGTTTGGTGACGAACAATGCCTTTTCCAGCATGATGGAGCACCTTGCCATAAGGCAAAAGTGATAACTAAGTGGCTCGGGGAACAAAAAATAGACATTTTGGGTCCATGGCCAGGAAACTCCCCAGACCTTAATCCCATTGAGAACTTGTGGTCGATCCTAAAGAGGCGGGTGGACAAACAAAAACCCACAAATTCTGACAAACTCCAAGCATTGATTATGCAAGAATGGGCTGCCATCAGTCAAGGTTGTGGTCCAGAAGTTAATTGACAGCATGCCAGGGTGGATTGCAGAGGTCTTGAAAAAGAAGGGTCAACAATGCAAATATTGGCTCTTTGCATAAACTTAATGTAATTGTCAATAAAAGCCTGTGACACTTATGGAATGCTTGTTATTATACTTCAGTATACCATAGTAACATCTGACAAAAATATCTAAAAACACTGAAGCAGCAAACTTTGTGAAGACTAATACTTGTGTCATTCTCAAAACATTTGACCACGACTGTACAGTGGCTTGTGAAAGTATTCACCCCCCTGGGCATTTTTCCTATTTTGTTGCCTTACAACCTGGAATTAAAATTTATTTGAGGGGGGTTTGTATCATTTGATGTACACAACATGCCTACCACTTTGAAGATGCAAACTATTTGTTATTGTGAAAAAAACAAGAAATAAGACACACAAAAAACGAAAACTTGAGCGTGCATAACTATTCAGCCCCCCCAAAGTCAATATTTCATAGAGCCACCTTTTGCAGCAATTACAGCTGCAAGTCTCTTGGGGTATGTCTCTACTGTATAAGCTTGGCACATCTAGCCACTGGGATTTTTGCCCATTCTTCAAGGCAAAACTGCTCCAGATCCTTCAAGTTGGATGGGTGCCGCTGGTGTACAGCAATCTTTAAGTCATACCACAGATTCTCAATTGGATTGAGGTCTGGGGTTTGACAAGGCCATTCCAAGACATTTAAATGTTTCCCCTTAAACCACTCGAGCGTTGCTTTAGCAGTATGCTTAGGGTCATTGTCCTGCTGGAAGGTGAACCTCTGTCCCAGTCTCAAATCTCTGGAAGACTGAAACAGTTTTCCCTCAAGAATTTCCCTGTATTTAGCACCATCCATCATTCCTTCAATTCTGACCAGTTTCCCAGTCCCTGCCGATGAAAAACATCCCCACATTATGATGCTGCCATCACATGCTTCACCGTGGGGATGGTGTTCTCGGGGTGATGAGAGGTGTTGGGTTTGTGCCAGACATAGCGTTTTCCTTGATGGCTAAAAAGCTCAATTTTAGTCTCATCTGACCAGAGTACCTTCTTCCATATGTTTGGGGAGTCTCCCACATGCCTTTTGGTGAACACCAAACGTGTTTGCTTATTTTTTTCTTAAAGCAATGGCTTTTTTCTGGCCACTCTTCCGTAAAGCCCAGTTCTGTGGAGTGTACGGCTTAAAGTGGTCCTATGGACAGATACTCCAATCTCCGCTGTGGAGCTTTGCATCTTCTTCAGGGTTATCTTTGGTCTCTTTGTTGCCTCTCTGATTAATGCCCTCCTTGCCTGGTCCGTGAGTTTTGTTGGGCGGCCCTCTCTTGGCATGTTTGTTGTGGTGCCAATTTCTTTCAATTTTTTAATAATGGATTTAATGGTGCTCCGTGGGATCTGTACTTCTCCACAACTTTGTCCCTGACCTGTTTGGAGAGCTCCTTGGTCTTCATGGTGCCGCTTGCTTGGTGGTGCCCCTTGCATAGTGGTGTTGCAGACTCTAGGGCCTTTCATAACAGGTGTATATATACTGAGATAGATGTGACAGATCATGTGACACTTAGATTGCAAACAGGTGGACTTTATTTCACTAATTATGTGACTTCTGAAGGTAATTGGTTGCACCAGATCTTATTTAGGGGCTTCATAGCAAAGGGGGTGAATACATACGCATGCACCACTTTTCCGTTATTTATTTTTTAGAATTTTTTGAAACAAGTCATTTTTTCCATTTCACTTCACCAATTTGGACTATTTTGTGTATGTCCATTACATGAAATCCAAATAAAAATCCATTTAAATTACAGATTGTAATACAACAAAATAGGAAAAAGCCAAGGGGGTTGAATACTTTTGCAAGGCACTGTACTCTTATAATCTCCACCCGGCACAGCCAGAAGAGGACTGGCCACCCCTCAGAGCCTGGTTCCTTTCTAGGTTTGTTGCTCGGTTACTGCCTTTCTAGGGAGTTTTTCCTAGCCACCGTGCTACATCTGCATTGCTTGCTGTTTGGGGTTTTAGGCTGGGTTTCTGTATAGCACTTTGTGGCATCTGCTGATGTATAAAGGGATATATAAATACATTTGATTGATTGATTGATTAATCAAATACCACATTCAAGTCAAGCATGCTTTTGTGGCACAGTTGATTCCACACAGGGTTTCACCGACCACCACGTATGAGCTCACTCTTCCTGTCTCATTACACTATGATCAGAGCCGGCTGCAGACAATGATCAGCTAGGGGGAAAACAGATTTTCAACATTTCAATGCTTTATTTATAATTCTATAAAATATATGCAACACATTTTCCACCAACAGTTTTCCTGTGCCAATGCACCACACAACAATGCTTCTATGTGTGGTATGATTGCTAGTTAGCCTATTGCAGATCTGGACAAACGATCCACCTCCCACTATTGCCACTATGAATGGTGGATAGAGGGCAGGATACACCGTTAGGCTGGTAGACTATATTGACCTGTGGTATAGTTAGCGTGCCGAAAAGCGTAGTGTATAAGGGAGGTACCAAAACACCTTGATAGGGGAGGCGCATGCAAGCAGATGAGAAAATGTGTCTAGGATGGAATAAATTATATAGTTAAACCTGCAAAACTGTCCCTAAGTCTTCTCTATGTAAGGACAGAGAGAGGGAGTCTGTCCCATGACCAACTCCTCTCTACTGATAAACACCCCTATTGTCCGTACAATGCGGCAGCAATAAAAATATGATAACACCCACAATGGGGAAGCTGCATTATCCCAAACTTCCCTCCTTCACCTCCCCTACATTGATTGGCTATTTATCATTGATAAAGTAGAGATGGTGGAGCCTGTCGCAGCTTAAAAGAGATTAATCAATTTTGCTATCCTCGTGTGGCCCGAACCAAAGACGAGCACTTTATTAGATTGGGGAATTCAATGCTGTCAGCTTCTCTGCTTTAATTACTATGCGTCTTCAGAAGGAAAAATAAGAAAATTAAGAAAGGAGGGATCTGCTTATTAAAATAATGGAAACTTTGGTTATTATTCATGGCGGCATGTCGCTCCTCATGGTTGTTGACGAACCGCTGAGTGTTTATCATTTAAGGTATGATGCACTTAGAGTTGAGTGAGCTGTAATCCTGGAAAGATTGCTCTGAGACTGGCTTTCAGAAATCAGAGCAGGGGGCGAGATTCCCGGGAGGTCTCTCTCTCTCAGTGTGAGACAACACTGCCTTTACAGCTTGTCTGCTCATAGTCAGAGATGAGGGTGGAAGCGAAAACAAAAGTTGCCATAGTTCATGGTGATTTACTGGGGTAATAATGCAGTTAAGAACATACAGTGGGGAAAAAAAGTATTTAGTCAGCCACCAATTGTGCAAGTTCTCCCACTTAAAAAGATGAGAGAGGCCTGTAATTTTCATCATAGGTACACGTCAACTATGACAGGCAAAATGAGAAAAAATAATCCAGAAAATCACATTGTAGGATTTTTAATGAATTTATTTGCAAATGATGGTGGAAAATAAGTATTTGGTCAATAACAAAAGTTTCTCAATACTTTGTTATATACCCTTTGTTGGCAATGACACAGGTCAAACGTTTTCTGTAAGTCTTCACAAGGTTTTCACACACTGTTTCTGGTATTTTGGCCCATTCCTCCATGCAGATCTCCTCTAGAGCAGTGATGTTTTGAGGCTGTCGCTGGGCAACACAGACTTTCAACTCCCTCCAAAGATTTTCTATGGGGTTGAGATCTGGAGACTGGCTAGGCCACTCCAGGACCTTGAAATGCTTCTTACGAAGCCACTCCTTCGTTGCCCGGGCGGTGTGTTTGGGATCATTGTCATGCTGAAAGACTCAGCCACATTTCATCTTCAATGCCCTTGCTGATGGAAGGAGGTTTTCACTCAAAATCTCACGATACATGGCCCCATTCATTCTTTCCTTTACACGGATCAGTCGTCCTGGTCCCTTTGCAGAAAAACAGCCCCAAAGCATGATGTTTCCACCCCCATGCTTCACAGTAGGTATGGTGTTCTTTGGATGCAACTCAGCATTCTTTGTCCTCCAAACATGACGAGTTGAGTTTTTACCAAAAAGTTATATTTTGGTTTCATCTGACCATATGACATTCTCCCAATCCTCTTCTGGATCATCCAAATGCACTTCAGACGGGCCTGGACATGTACTGGCTTAAGCAGGGGGACACGTCTTGCACTGCAGGATTTGAGTCCCTGGCGGCGTAGTGTGTTACTGATGGTAGGCTTTGTTACTTTGGTCCCAGCTCTCTGCAGGTCATTCACTAGGTCCCCCCGTGTGGTTCTGGGATTTTTGCTCACCGTTCTTGTGATCATTTTGACCCCAAGGGGTGAGATCTTGCGTGGGGCCCCAGATCGAGGGAGATTATCAGTGGTCTTGTATGTCTTCCATTTCCTAATAATTGCTCCCACAGTTGATTTCTTCAAACCAAGCTGCTTACCTATTGCAGATTCAGTCTTCCCAGCCTGGTGCAGGTCTACAATTTTGTTTCTGGTGTCCTTTGACAGCTCTTTGGTCTTGGCCATAGTGGAGTTTGGACAGTGACTGTTTGAGGTTGTGGACAGGTGTCTTTTATACTGATAACAAGTTCAAACAGGTGCCATTAATACAGGTAATGAGTGGAGGACAGAGGAGCCTCTTAAAGAAGAAGTTACAGGTCTGTGAGAGCCAGAAATCTTGCTTGTTTTTTTACAAATGTGAGACAAGTTGGAAGTACCATAACATACACTAGCATTCAAAAGTTTGGGGTCACTTAGAAATGTCCTTGTTTTCGAAAGAAAAGCAATTTTTTTTGTTCATTAAAATAACATCAAATTGATCAGAAATACAGTGTAGACATTGTTAATGTTGTAAATGGCTATTGTAGCTGGAAACGGCTGATTTTTAATGGAATATCTACATAGGCGTATCAGCAACCATCAGTCCTGTGTTCCAATGGCACGTTGTGTTTGCTAATCCAAGTTTATAATTTTAAAAGGCTAATTGATCATTAGAAAACCCTTTTGCAATTATGTTAGCACAGCTGAAAACTGTTGTGCTGATTAAAGAAGCAATAAAACTGGCCTTCTTGAGAATTGTGGGTTCGATTCCAGGCTCAAAATGGCCAGAAACAAATAACTTTCTTCTGAAACTCGTCAGTCTATTCTTGTTCTGAGAAATTAAGGCTATTCCGTGCGAGAAATTGCCAAGAAACTGAAGATCTCGTACAACGCTGTGTACTACTCCCTTCACAGAACAGCGCAAACTGGCTCTAACCAGAATAGAAAGAGGAGTGGGAGGCCCCGGTGCACAACTGAGCAAGAGGACAAATACATTAGAGTGTCTAGTTTGAGAAACAGGTGCCTCACAGGTCCTCAACTGGCAGCTTCATTAAATAGTACCCGCAAAACACCAGTCTCAACGTCAACAGTGAAGAGGCGACTCCGGGATGCTGACCTTCAAGGCAGAGTTGCATAGAAAAAGCCATATCTCAGACTGGCCAATAAAAAGAAAAGATTAAGATGGGCAAAATAACACAGACACTGGACAGAGGAAGATTGGAAAAAAGTGTTATGGACAGATGAATCGATGTTTGAGGTGTTCGGATCACAAAGAAGAACATTTGTGAGATGCAGACCAAATGAAAATATGCTGGAGGAGTGCTTGACGCCATCTGTCAAGAATGGTGGAGGCAATGTGATGGTCTGGGGGTGCTTTGATTGTGGTAAAGTGGGAGATTTGTACAGGGTAAAAGGGATCTTGAAGAAGGAAGGCTATCTCTCCATTTTGCAACGGTATGCCATACCCTGTGGACGGCACTTGATTGGAGCCAATTTCCTCCTACAACAGGACAAAGACCCAAAGCACAGCTCCAAACTATGCAATAATTATTTAGGGAAGAAGCAGTTAGCTGGTATTCTGTCTATAATGGAGTGGCCAGCACAGTCATCGGATCTCAACCCCGTTGAACTGTTGTGGGAGCAGCTTTACCGTATGGTACATAAGAAGTTCCCATCAAGTCAATCCAACTTGTGGGAGGTGCTTCAGGAAGCATGGGGTGAAATCTCTTCAGATTACCTCAACAAATTGACAACTAGAATGCCAAAGGTCTGCAAGGCTGTAATTGCTGCAAATTGAGGATTCTTTGACGAAAGCAAAGTTTGAAGGACACAATTATTATTTCAATTAAAAATCATTATTTCCAACCTTGTCAATGACTACATTTCCTAATCATTTTGCTATATTTCCTATTCAAACTCATTTCATGTATGTTTTCATGGAAAACAAGGACATTTCTAAGTGACCCCAAACATTTGAACGGTAGTGTACATCATTGCTGCACTCTAGACACAATTGTGGTTTATTCCATATACTGTATCGTATTTAACTGCTGAACTTGGACAATGGCAGAAAAATATTTTAATGCATGAATCTCTAGTCATTTCCACGTGTGTTCTTACAACAGGTAGTGCATTTACTGCAACAATAAAGTAGCTGCAAAAATACCCCATAGTGTATGTTGTTATTAGTAAGGATGGGGAGGTCGGAGCGGGCCACAATGGTCATAACATGTCTCTGTAACTGCAACTCAGCACTGCTAAGGAACAGTAGTCCATGCATTTCGTAGTGTGCACTGTAACAGAGTTATGTGTGCAATAGCTACTGTAATGAAAATCAACATGAATGAATTCTAGAAAACAAGTGAAGTTGTCCTACTCACCTGTTTGATTGCATACAACAGCTTACCATAGCAGTAGACTATGACCAGGAAGGGGATGATGAGGCAGAAAACAAAGAGGCAAAGGATGTACGAGACATTGTTGGCGCTCTTGGCCTTCCAGTCCACGGAACAGGTGGTACCGGGCCCCTCGGGGCCGTAGCGGCTCCAGCCGAAGAGCGGCGGCAGGGTCCACATCAAGGAGTAGACCCAGGAGAAAGCGATGCCCAAGGCTACCTTCCGGTAGTTGGTGGAGTCAGCCTCGGTTGGGCCCATCATGGTGCTGTAGCGCTCGTAGGAGAGCACAGCCAGGGTGATGAGGGACACGATGCCTGGGAACGAGAACACAGACACTCGCTCAGACTATGTCGAACAGGGCCAATACAGGAGTTCATCGGGGGTCAAAGACAACAACACAGACACAACACTCTAGCCTTAAAACCAACGTTTACCTATGGGGTGTTTGAACAAAATGCATGCAGACTCAACAGTGGGAGTGCTCATACAGACACAAGTAAATTATATCACACTTGAGTGTATGCTGGATTCCTACTGTTTTATCCTGGAAGGGTAAGTAATGCATCCATATAGGTTGTTATTACTTTGCAAAGAGAGATCCCAATGTACTATACAACAGGTAAGTGTGATTGCTTCACATAAAGTAGAATAGGGCATGCAGAATTCAGCTTTTAGACATTCCGCAGGAGGGCCCATGATACCAGTGATGAGTAGATGCCACAACAGCATCAATAGATCTATCATTTATCACCTCTCAATGCACACATTTCCTGCTCTGCAGCAATCGCAAAGGAGCATTTCATATCCAGCCACTGCTCCCAGAAACCTGACCCCTCATCTTCTTTATCTTGTTTGTTTTTTCATCGAAGTGAACATTATCCCATGTTTGCCTTGTTTGTCATTTCCTTTGAAGTTAACATGATGGCGTTAGAATGGCACCGCAATGGATAGCTGCCGTTTTACAGGATTCTGACCAATTCTGCTATTGTGTGTTTTTTTGTGCTGATCGTAACTTTTTTGTAAGTAATATTTCTGCCATCGTTTCCTATGACCGAAAAGGACATCAGAACAGCGATCATTAACATAAATTTGGATGAAGATTTCTACTTCATACTACATACTGCTCACCCCGGACCAGGCCCTAATCTCAGAGACTTTGAAATGAAAGGAAAAGACGGTGTAAGAGAGGCCGGCGTGCGGGCACCCTTACGAAACGAAGTCGGCAAATAAATAATCTGCCTCTATCCTCCGTTCAATTGGCGAACATACAATCACTGGAGAACAAACTGGACGAGCTCCGTTCGAGACTATCCTATCAACGGGACCTGAAGAACTGTAATATCCTATGTTTCGCGAGTCGTGGTCTGAACGAGAGCATGGATAATATACATCTAGCTGGTTTTCCTATGCATCGGCAGGATCAAACGGCAGCATCGGGTAAGCTCAAGGGGGGAGGTGAGTGTCTCTTTGTTAACAACAGCTTTAATATTAAGAAAGTCTCATGGTTCTGCTCGCCTGAGTTAGAATACCTCATGATAAACTGTAGACCATACTATTTACCAAGAGAGTTTTCATCTATATTTATCGTAGTTGTCTATTTACCACCACAAACTGATGCTGGCACTAACACCGCACTCAACGAGATGTATAGGGCCATAAGCAAACAAGTAAATGCGCATCCAGAGGCAGTGCTCCTAGTGCCCATTGATTTTAAAGCAGGGAAACTGAAATCCGTTTTACCTAATTTCTACCAGCATGTCACCTGTGCAACTAGAGGAGACAACTCTTGATCACCTTTACTCCACACACAGAAACGCATACAAAGCTCGCACTCACCCTCCAACTCTATCCTCCTGATTCCTGCTTACAATCAAAAATTCAAAACAGGAAGTACCAGCTCAATTTGGAAATGGTCCGATGAAGCGGATGCTAAGCTACAGGACTGTTTCTCTAGCACAGATTGGAATATGTTCCGGGATTCATCCGATGGCAATGAGGAGTTTACCACATCAGTCACCGGCTTCATTAATAAGTGCATCGACGATGTCGTCTCCACAGTGACATACTTACATATCCCAACCAGAAGCCATGGATTACAGGCAACATCCGCACTGAGCTAAAGGCTAGAGCTGCCACTCTCAAGGAGCAGGACAATAATCCGGACGCTTATAAGAAATCTTGCTACGACCTCCGACGAGCCATCAAACAGGCAAAGCGTCAATACAGAACTTAGGCCGAATCCTACTACTCCGGCTCTGACGCTCGTCGGATGTGGCAGGGCTTGCAAACTATGCTTGCTTCTATTCTCGCTTCGAGGCAAGCAACACTGAACCACGCATGAGAGCACCAGCTGTTCCGGACGACTGTGTGATCATGCTCTCCTTCATGTTAGCCGATGTGAGTAAGACCTTTAAACAGGTTAACATTCACAAGGCCGCAGGGCCAGATGGATTACCAGGACAGCTCAGCGTTCAACACCATAGTGGCCTCCAAGCTCATCACTAAGCTAAGGACCCTGGGACTGAACACCTCCCTCTGCAACTGGATTCTGGACTTCCTGATGGGCTGCCCCCAGGTGGTGAGGGTAGATAACGACACATTCACCACGCTGACTCTCAATGTGGGGACCCCTCAGTAGGGCTGACCCTCAACGTGGGGACCCCTCAGTAGGGCTGTGGCGGTCATGACATTTTGTCAGCTGCTTAGTGTAATGATCTGGGGCTCCACGCAAGATCTCACCCCGTGGGGTCAAAATGATCACAAGAACGGTGAGCAAAAATCCCAGAACCACACGGGGGGACCTAGTGAATGACCTGCAGAGAGCTGGGACCAAAGTAACAAAGCCTACCATCAGTAACACACTATGCCGCCAGGGACTCAAATCCTGCAGTGCGAGACGTGTCCCCCTGCTTAAGCCAGTACATGTCCAGGCCCGTCTGAAGTTTGCTAGAGTGCATTTGGATGATCCAGAAGAGGATTGGGAGAATGTCATATGGTCAGATGAAACCAAAATATAACTTTTTGGTAAAAACTCAACTTGTCGTGTTTGGAGGACAACGAATGCTGAGTTGCATCCAAAGAACACCATACCTACTGTGAAGCATGGGGGTGGAAACATCATGCTTTGGGGCTGTTTTTCTGCAAAGGGACCAGGACGACTGATCCGTGTAAAGGAAAGAATGAATGGGGCCATGTATCGTGAGATTTTGAGTGAAAACCTCCTTCCATCAGCAAGGGCATTGAAGATGAAACGTGGCTGGGTCTTTCAGCATGACAATGATCCCAAACACACCGCCCGGGCAACGAAGGAGTGGCTTCGTAAGAAGCATTTCAAGGTCCTGGAGTGGCCTAGCCAGTCTCCAGATCTCAACCCCATAGAAAATCTTTGGAGGGAGTTGAAAGTCCGTGTTGCCCAGTGACAGCCCCATAACATCACTGCTCTAGAGGAGATCTGCATGGAGGAATGGGCCAAAATACCAGCAACAGTGTGTGAAAACCTTGTGAAGACTTACAGAAAACGTTTGACCTGTGTCATTGCCAACAAAGGGTATATAACAAAGTATTGAGAGACTTTTGTTATTGACCAAATACTTATTTTCCACCATAATTTGCAAATAAATTCTTTAAAAATCCAACAATGTGATTTTCTGGATTTTTTTTCACTCATTTTGTCTGTCATAGTGGACGTGTACCTATGATGAAAATTACAGGCCTCTCTCATCTTTTTAAGTGGGAGAACTTGCACAATTGGTGGCTGACTAAATACTTTTTTCCCCCACTGTATGTAAAATTAGTTTCGATTTAGAAGGGCCCATTATCAATTGGGCAGGAACCGGGGCAGGGGAAACAAGACATGGCATCTGTATTCTCTCGAATAGCGAATGGAGCCGCACGGTTTCCCACCGGTCCGTTTTGTAGGCTACTTCGGTTTTATGGCGGAGATGTGCTTAATATGACCAGCTGAGAAATACATAGAAGAACACTTATTTCACTCCATGCATCAATCACTGTTTGAGGAGCATGCTCTCGCTGCCCCGGCTAACTGTAAGCCGCCCTGGACAATCAATGAACCAACAGCATCGCCTAGGGCTATACTTACTCTCCCAAACTCATGGATATACATTTGGGAGCGTATCGTAAGGTAACCAGTCCATCCAGTCCACACTCAAAGATTATTTATTGAATTTGTTTAATTTTTGAATATAGGCTAGACCAATTATGTACCAAAGACATCTTTAATCAGTTTTGTTATATGTTTTTCTGCCATCATATATGCGGTAGGCTACAGTATGTATTTTATAACAGCACGGGGGGAACTCATAAGCTCATGCATATGCTCTAATATGCTTATGGGTGTTTTGAATTAATCATCACCTTAGAAAGCGCTGTCCATTTCTTTATGTTAGGCTTTGAAGCAACATCCACAACAACCCTGTTTTGCTCTTTATGTTAGGCTTTGAAACAACATCCACAACAACCATGTTTTGCACTTTAACCTGCTGTTGAACTTCTTTCTTCAAATTGATCATCACAGTGAGGTGAGTTTTAAAAGTACTATAGGCCTACTTTTTTGATTATATGTGTTTGATGTGATTTTCGATTGCACTTGCATTGATGTCAGAGTGGTTAGAGGGACAATAGAGACCTGAGTGCCAGTTCATTAGGACCTGATGGTTGTTAGCAAGTTGGGTACTACCAAAGCATGTCCAGAGTGCATAAAAGGAGATTACCGTGACTCAAAGGTCACCGCAACAGCCCTACCCCTCAGGTGTGCGTGCTTAGTACTCCCTGTTCACCCAGGACTGCGTGAACGCGCACGACTCCAACACCATCATTAAGTTTGCTGACGACACAATGTGGTAGGCTTGATCACCAACGACGATGACACAGCCTAGGAAGAAGTCAGAGACCTGGCAGTCAGCAAAATAAAGGAGCTGATCGTGGACTACAGTAAACAGAGGGCCGAGCACACCCCCATTCACATTAATTGGGCTGTAGTGGAGCGGGTCGAGAGCTTCATGTTCCTCGGTGTCCACATCACTAAGGATCTATCATGGTCCACACACACCAACAAAATCGGGAAGAGGTGACGACAACGCCTCTTCACCCTCAGAAGGCTGAAAAGATTTGGCATGGGCCCTCAGATCCTCAAAAAGTTCTACAGCTGCACCATTGAAAGCACCTTGACTGGCTGCATCACCTCTTGGTATGGCAAATGCTTGGCATCCGACCGCAAGGCGCTACAGAGGGTAGTTTATACAGCCCAGTACATCACTGGGGCCGAGCTCCATGCCATCCAGGACCTCTATACCAGACAGTGTCAGAGGAAGGCCCTAAAAATGGTCAAAGACTCCAGACACCTGTCATAGACTGTTCTCTCTGCTACCGCACGGCAAGCGTTACTGATGCACTGAAGTCTGGAACCAACAGGACCCTGAACAGCTTCTACCCCCAAGCCATAAGACTGCTAAATAGTTGGTTAAATAGTTAACCAAACAGCTACCCAGACTATCTACATTGACCCTTTTTTTTCACTCAGCACATACACTGCTGCTACTGTTTATTATCTATCCTGTTGCCTAGTAACTCTATTCCCAGTTATATGTACATATCTATCTCAATTACCTCGTACCCCTGCACATCGACTCGGTACTGGTACCCCATGTATATAGCCAAATTATCGTTACTCATTGTGTATTTATTATTACTTTTATTATTACGTGTTATTACTTTAATATTATTTCTCCATTTTCTTTCTCTCTGCATTTTTGGGAAGGGCCCCTAATCATTTCACTGTTAGTCTACACCTGTTGTTTACGAAGCATGTGACAAATAACATTTGATTTGATCCATGAGGCTGTCCTTCACGGCCATTGATTTCCAACAGCAATGAAGCAGACCTAACCAGCCCTCTAATTTAAAAGTGTGGGCCAGACCTTTCACTGAGGTGCTGTATAGTTCTCAGCTCTCAAAGGCAATGGGAGATATTGCAAGGGCTCTGAAAGTGCAGATTGTTTAGGTGTGAGTGTGTGTGCGTGCGTCCGTGCGCGCGCACACTGATTCACAGCAGTGAATTTGAAGCCTTTCTTCAAAGACGGCGAATATGAAATCTAATATTCCCATCATTATGTGGAGGAACCAACCGGCGAAATTAGGTTATGTTAGTTGGCCAAGCAGATGCCTCTGCCCAAGATTGGGCCAGCTCGCTAGCATGAAATCGACATGGGACTGCTTATTCAAAGTAGGTCCTTATGGAGTAGGACCAACTCGTTGGACCTCACATCAGAGAGGCCAGCTTAATATAATATCCTCAAAATGCTCAAAATGTGATCTGAAATGTTTTGAAATTAACTAAATAAGATTAAATTCACTTGAGCAGCTCCCCCGTTTTGGGTTAGTTCCTTGTGCATCGTGTGTTTGTCTTTCAAAGAAAATCGAATAAAGTAAATGTTTCGGTATTGTACAGTTTTTACCCCAGGATGGAATGATACCTACATTTGCCCAATAATTGCCTGCAGGGATTTTTCTGCCATTGAAATCCTTGGGCGGCCGCCTAAGCGTTTTCTCGGGCCGCCTAAATTCAAACTGTATAAATAATTTTACACATTTAAATGACATTTTCAGGATGGAAAAACGCTTTCAGTGTTAACTTAAACCAGAGATAAAGTATGTAGAAAAGACAATGGACCTATATATATTTATATTATATAATCTTTGAGAACTAACAATTACCAAAATAAAAGCAAGAGAGTCAGGGAGATTTAGCAGTATGCATTTTGTAATCATGTTTGAGCAAAAGAACACAGGATTAGCCATGGCAAAATGAAATTAGCTTTAAAACTGCTAAATGTTCTCTCGGCGCCATGGCAGAATATGTAGAATCGCATGAAATTTGCTTTAAAAATGCAACATTTTCTCTCAGCTGCATGGCATAATGTGTAGAATTGCAGGAAATGTGCTTTAAAATGTAGCTCCATTGAGAACTTTGAGAAAATTATCTCTAAACAATTATCTCCACGCCAGAATAAACCCTGGACTGCCGTCATTTCTGATTTCCATTTCGGACAGTAACTCAACATCTGGAAAAGTTTAATCAGTGCAATATTTCGGACAAGTTTCCCTATCAAATATAAACTTGAGAGCTCACCACAACTGTTTTGCAAAAGGTTTTCTTGCATAGACACTATCTGTACTTCAACCATAGTCGCCCTTACAGAAAAACCACATATAATTGGTCATTTAGCAGACGCTCTTATCCAGAGCGACTTACAGGAGCAATTAGGGTTAAGTGCCTTGCTCAAGGGCACATCGACAGATTTTTCACCTAGTGGGCTCGGGGATTAGAACCAGCGACCTTTCGGTTACTGGCACAACGCTCTTAACCACTAAGCTACCTGCCACATCAATTTCACATGAACATGTGAAGTGTTCCAAAAACACGTTTTCACATGATTTCACAAATCATGTAAGCCATACAATATCAGTACAGAATACATAAACTAGCCTCAGAATACTTTGTACCATAAGGAAAATACAATCAGCAAGAAAATGAATGAAGGCCCATTGTTAAAAGTTTGGACTCTAGTGGATACACTGTTTTATTATGGAGAAGCGGCTGTGTGATTGATTAAATTCAATTTAGAAAGAAAACAACCACTGTGAATGACTTTCAATGTGGGGAATGACACAAATTAGCGACAGGAAGCCTTTGCAAAAGTTTGCGAACCTCTGCTTTATCTTTCATAAGGCCAGCGGAGGTGCATAAATTTAAAAGGCATTACAGGCACAAAAGGTCAAAGAATGCACCACTGACAAGATACAGGATCTCAAAGTAGCTTACACGCTTAACATAAGCTGTGTACGATTTTTCTTTCTATGAATTAAAGGTTACGGATAAAATACAAATGACTGCCTTTGCTATCTGCACCCAAGGCAAGTCTGTATAGGAATACTAATGCTCTGAAATCCCACCTCCCATCATACATAATGAGTGTTGTGAGATGTGTTTATTCACTATTTATTGGACTTGCTCATTACCGTCGTATCAAGACCTTTAGGTTAGAGGGATTGCGCTTCCCTTTACTGTCAAAAAACCACTAGACGAATCAGGGCCGAAATACAGAATACAGTCCAACTTCTGCATTCAGCAAGAGCAGACCAAGGTTAGGTTAATTCAAAGCCTGTGTACACCTGAGGCAGATACAATATATATACAAAAGTATGTGGACACCCCTTCAAATTACTGGATTCGGATATTTCAGTGACACCCGTTGCTGACAGGTGTATAGAATTGAGCACACAGCCATGTAATCTTCATAGACAAACATTGGCAGTAGAATGGCCTTATTGAAGAGCTCAGTGACCTTCATGTGGCACCATCATAGGATGCCACCTTTCCAACAAGTCAGTTCGTCAAATTTCTGCCCTGATAGAGCTGCCACGGTCAACTGTAAGTGTTGTTATTGTGAAGTGGAAATGTCTAGGAGCAACATCGGCTCAGCCACGAAAGTGGTAGGCCACACAAGCTCACAGAACAGGACCGCCGAGTGCTGTAGCGCATGGCGCGTAGAAATCGTCTGTCCTTGGTTGCAACACTCACTACCGAGTTCCAAACTGCCTCTGGAAGTAACGTCAGCACAAGAACTGTTCGTCGGGAGCTTCATGAAATTGGTTTCCATGGCCGAGCAGCCGAACACAAGCCTAAGATCACCATACGCAATGCCAAGCGTCGGCTAGAGTGGTGTAAAGCTTGCCGCTATTGGACTCTAGAGCAGTGGAAACGCGTTCTCTGGAGTGATGAATCACGCTCTGACCGTCCGACGGACGAATCTGGGTTTGGCGGATGCCAGGAGAACTCTACCTGCCCGAATGCATAGTGCCAACTGTAAAGTCTGGTGGAGGACGAATATTGGTCTGGGACTGTTTTTCATGGTTCAGGCTAGGCCCCTTAGTTCCAGTGAAGGGAAATCTTTACGCTACAGCATACAATGACATTCCAGATGATTCTGTGCTTCCAACTTTGAGGCAACAGTTTGGGGAAGGCCGTTTCCTGTTTCAGCATGACAATGTCCCTGTGCACAAAGCGAGGTCCATACAAAAATGGTTTGTCAAGAGCGGTGTGGAAGAACTTGACTGGCCTGCACAGAGCCCTGACCTCAACTCCATCGAACACCTTTGGGATGAATTGGAACGCCGACTGCGAGCCAGGCCTAATCGCCCTACATCAGTGTTCCAACCTCACTAATGCTCTTGCGACTGAATGGAAGCAAGTCCCCGCAGCAATGTTCCAATATCTAGTTGAAAGCCTTCCCAGAAGAGTGGAGGCTGTTATTGCAGCAAAAGGGGGTCCAACTCCATATTAATGCCCATGATTTTGGAATGAGATGTTCGACGAGCAGGTGTCCTTGTACTTTTGGTCATGTAGTGTATATACCGTATGCAGTGATGGAGGGAAGGAATTTCAAAAAGAGGAAGGAAAACAGTTGAATGTTGCATACATCAGTCTCGCCCCTGGACCTGAACTGCCATTATTGTAGTTAAGTGATGTCTGGAATGACTTTAGAACCTGCAAAGAGGAGTTGGACTGGCTAAATGGGAGCCCAGGGCTGCTAACTAAGCAAGCCATTTTAATGTGAAAAATGTGTGACTGCAATCATGTTTTCCCGGTCTGAAACCTGCTGAGTTCTCTTTTCAGGCCATTAAGTTGAGGCAGCAGGTTCTAGAGTCATTCCAGACATCACTTAACTACAATAATGGCAGTTCAGGTCCAGGGGCGAGACTGACGTATGCAACATTCAACTGTTTTACAGCCTCAAAAAAGAACAAAAATAAATCCTACCAAAGCTAGATATTGTGCTTATGTCATGAGCACAGCTTCTTGTGGGTAAGTTGGTGTGCTTTTCTTTAGGTAGATTGTTTATTCAGCGATATGATGTTCCCATGCTGGGCAACTAACAATATAGAATAAAGGATGGTATTCCGACTTGAGATCTGCAGAGTTAACACACATTTCCACAGAAGTCACCCATTGACATCAATTAATGACTTACATGAACGTCTGAGTTGTGCACACTTACCTAAACTCTGAATTGGCCTGAAAGAGAACATGAAGTGAGGTTATCCTTGTCAGTATTTGTTGTCACACAGCTGTCAAGTTGCAGCAGAGCTCAGCGAACCCTTGTGTATATGGGAAGATGCTTAACAGTATATGTGTGGGTGCCGACAACTGCAGCCTCTTGCTTTACACTCTATCGTACATATCAAAATATGTATTTTGATACCAAACACATCAATTGTGTGTATACTATAAATGTGTATCCTTTCTGTTTTTGTCCCTCTAAGTGATTATTTCTTATAAGCATGATTTATGATACATATTGTTCTTCCACTGAGTTATTTTCAGACAAGCCTACATAAGACAGATCCTACAAGCCTGAGTGCATAACACTGAAATTTGAGAAATAATCACTTCAACAGTGACTCTGTATGTCACGTTCGTTGAGTAAAGGATCGGACCAAGGTGCAGCGTGGTATGCGTACATAGTCGTTTATTATATTAAACACTGACAAAATAACAAAATCCAACAGACTGTGAAGTTCAAAAAGGCTAAACATCAAACAAGCCAAACTGAAACAAGATCCCACAACATAGGTAGGCAAAATGGCTACCTAAGTATGATCCCCAATCAGAGACAACAATCAACAGCTGCCTCTGATTGGGAACCACACCCGGCCAACATAGAAATAGATAACAGATCTACACATAGATATTCACACCCTGACCAAACCAACTAGAGATATCTATGTCAGGGCGTGACAGTACCCCCACCCCCCAAAGGTGCGGACTCCGGCCGCAAAACTGACTCATTAGGGGAGGGCATTTAGCCTCGGTGGGCATTTAGCCTCGGTGGCGGCACCGGCTCCGGGCGCGACGTCAACCTTACTGTCCTCTCCTTTTCTGGCTCTCCGTTGCACACCTGGTCTGGTCTGGACCCCAGCGCGATGCTTCCACTCTCAGTCCTCCCGTGATACACCAAGTCCTGTCTGGACCCTGGTGTGGGAGAGTAGACGACCGGACCCGGACTCGGCAGTGGAGCCGCTGACCGGAGCTGAACTAGACCCCGGTGGAGCGGACTGCTCTGGCTCTGGACTAGAGCAGCTGACCGGGGCTGGACTAGGCACCGGTGGAGTGGACTGCTCTGGCATGGGACTGGAGCAGCTAACCGGAGCTGGACTTGGCACCGGTGGAGTGGACTGCTCTGGCATGGGACTGGAGCAGCTAACCGGAGCTGGACTGGGCACCGGTGGAGCGGACTGCTCTGGCATTGGACTGGAGCAGCTAACCGGAGCTGATCTGGGCACCGGTGGAGCGGACTGCTCTGGCACTGGAGTGGAGCAGCTGACCGGAGCT